GAGACTTCATCATTTTACGTTTCTCCCATTGTTTGAAATGATGCTGTTATCCATTTTAAGACTTTGATCAGGGAGTGTTGGTTGGCCTTAGGTGTTTTGGGTAGATGTGGGGGGCTGTGATTGGATGATTGCAATAAAAGACAGATTATATAATAGTGAACCTCTTGTGTCATTCCTATACCATCTAGTGGTTGAAATATTTGCAGAAATTTTCAGTTTGCTTAAGAATTAAGACTCAATGCATTTCATGTAACCAAAATGTTTGTACCCCGTAATATCCTGAATTAAAAAAAATAAATAATCTGTTAAAAAAAAAAAAGACTCAATGGGGCTGGTGTGGTGGCTCAGGCCTGCAATCCTAGCACTCTGGGAGGCTGAGGTGGGAGGATCTCTTGAGCTCAGGACTTTGAGACCAGCCTGAACAAGAGCTAGACCCTGTCTCTGCTAAAAATGGAAAAAAATTAGCGGGCATGGTGGTGCTCACCTGTAGCCCCGGCTACTTGGGAGGCTGAGGCAGGAGGATCGCTTGAGCCCAGGAGTTTGAGGTTGTTGTGAGCTAGGCTGATGCCATGGCACTCTAGCCCAGGCAACAGAGCAAGAGTCTATCTCAAAGAAAAAAAAAAGACTCAATGTCAAAAAAGAGTACACTGTTATAGTCTATTTATTGCAGAATTGTCATGATGTGCTTCAGACAGGTGAGTGCCTGGTCCACTGTCAGTAGAACATATCTTTTGAATTATTTTTTGTGACATAGTGAAGAGCATTATGTAATCATTCAGCCATTTCTTTTCCCTTTGGTTCTTCTTGTGGGGAAAGAGGACTGGAGTTGAAGTCAGAAGACCTGGATTCTAGTCACAACTTCATTCCTGACTAGTGTTCTAATCTTGCACATGTCACGAATTACTGAGCATCCTTATATGTAGGAAGAGCATACAGGACCTGTCTTTCAGGATTGTTTTGTCATAAAGATTAAATAGTAGTATAAATTTTAAAACACCTTACATTTATAAGGTGTTATTGTTACTATTATTGTGAGAGAGTGTGCTCAAGAAATTTATCTTCACATGAGGTCTCCACTTGTCACTTCCACTTCACTACGGTCTAAATTCTGCCCTCACTGTTCCACCTAAATTGTCCTTGCCAAAGTTTCCACTGGCCGTCATATTGTAAAATTAGGGTATTTTCTTTTGTCCTAATATTATACAACTTGTCAGCAGAGTTTCATTCAGTGGACTGTTTTCACTTTCTTCAAATCCTCTTTTTTGCTTTTCTTGTCATCGCAGGCTCCAAGAGTTTTTGCTTCCCTGGACATTTTTCAGTCTTCTTTGCAGGCCAGTTCTCCTCTATTGGGCCTCCAAATGTTAGAATTCTCCAGAATTAGGTCCTGAACATTCTGTTCTCACTACACTTTTTCATTATGTGATATATTCATTCCCATGGCTTCCAATGCAATTAAATTCTGATAACTTCCAAATGTCTATCTCTGATCCATACATCTTCTCTGAGGTCCAGATGGGTATAATCAACTATTGAAAAATGACTCCAATTGAATGTCTCACAAGAATATCACAGCCAAGATGTCCACAAAGGACAAATCTGATCCTTACTAGTTCTTCTCTTCTCTCAGTAAATGACACTGACATTCACCCACTTCCAAGCCAGAAATGTAGGATGTATCTTTGATTATTTCATTTTTCTTATCCCTCACATTAATTCCTGTGCTATTTAAAAACAAAATATTTTGAAATCAAAAAGTGCGATACTTCCAGCTTTGCCCTTCTTCATCAAGAGTGCTTTGACTATCTGGGGACTTTTGTGGTTCCATAGGAATTTTAGGATTGAATTTTTTATTCCTATAAAACATATGCCACAGAGACTTTGATATGTATTGCACTGAATCTACTGATCACTCTTGGTAGTGTGGACATTTTAACAGCATTAATTCTTCCAATCCATGAACATGGGGCATTTTTCCACTTCTTTGTTCACTCTTTAATTTCTTTAATCAATGGTATGTAGTTTTCAGTGTACAAGTATTTCACCTCCTTGGTTAACTTTATTCCAAACTATCGTATTCTTTTTGATGATATCGTGAATGGAATTGTTTCTTTAACTTTCTTTTCAGACAGGTTGTTTTTAGTATATAGAAATACAAATGATTTTTGTGTGTTGATTTTGTATCTTCCAACTTTATTGAATTTGTTTATCAGTTCTAACAGTTTTTTTCTTGTGTGTATGTGTGTGTGTGTGTGTATGTGTGTGTAGTCTTTATAGATAGTCTTTCTAAATATAAGGTCATGTCATGTGGAAACAGAAATGAGTTTACTTCTTCCTTTCTGATTTGTA